AAGTTGCTCCTTTCGAATCAAAGCTCGACTTCAAGCATCACGCGACCGACAGAAGAGCTACGCTGATAAACGGCGAAAGCCATTGGAATTTCAAGTCGGGGATCGGGTGTTGTTAAAGGTCTCCCCCTGGAAAGGGTTGATTCGTTTTGGGAAACGGGGAAAACTAAACCCACGGTACATTGGACCATTTGAGATTCTTGCCCGAATCGGTCCAGTGGCTTATAGACTGCAACTACCTGCTGAACTCAGCAGTGTACACCCCGTGTTCCATGTTTCCAATTTGAAGAAGTGCTTATCCGATGAAACTCTCGTCATCCCATTGGAAGAAATCGAAATCAACGCGAATCTCCTATTCATCGAGGAACCAGTTGAAATCATGGATAGGGAAGTGAAGCGTACTAAGCAAAGTCGCATTCCGATTGTGAAAGTTCGGTGGAACGCGAAACGTGGACCGGAATTCACATGGGAACACGAAGACCAGATGAAGCATAAGTACCCTCACCTATTCTCGCATTCTCAAATCTAGCTTCAAAAAGAATTTCGGGACGAAATTCCCTCTAACGGGAGGATGATGTCACAACTAGGAATTCTGATGCTTTGTAAACAATTAACAAGGATAACATTGTAACTAAAACTTGAAAGCATGTATGATGCTTATTCAATGACAACAAAATTCCATTAAACACTCCATACAACGCTCAAATAGTCTACAAAAGGTTGGAAACCCTAGAAATCCCGGTTTAAGTCCATTATGGACTAGGATTTCCTTATTGGGCCTAATGGGCCAATAAACTTTCAATGTGACTATTTTGGGCTTAGAACTCTTAAATGGACTCTCATTGGACCCACTCTCATGAGACTTAACCTTTTTGGGCCTTATAAGCCTAAAATGGACTAGTTTATCTTTAATGGGCCTTATTGGGCCATAACTAATCCAATTAGTTTAAATGGACTCAAAACCATTCTCTTATATAAAAATTGGGCCGTGATCTACTCTAAAGGCCCAATGGGCCGAAAACCATCAAATTGGGCCTCATATTATGGACTCAAGCATAAAAGGGCCAAGCCATTCTCTTCCTTCTCTCTCTCTCTCGGCCCAAGTAGGAAAAAAAAGAGCAAAGAAATGAATAAATGCCCATGACACCTCATTGTTGTTTAGGGGTTAATTATGGGATTATCCAACATACATCCAAGACAAATCTCATGTTCCTATGCATTCATCTCTCTCTTCTCCTTCTTCTTAATACTTGCGGCCGAGAATCAACACACACACAACATTTCATACTCTCTCTAAGTAAAACATTCAAGAACATCCCTTCCCTCTCATCAAGACTTTTTGAGAATTAGAAGCATTTCAAGGAGATTCCATCCAAAAATCACTTCAAGCTACACTCTAGTGGTAAGATCTTGCAAGCATATTTCCTTTCTACACTCATTTACTCTTCTTACCACCTTAAATTCATGATCATACTCCTAGAAACATACTAAGTTCTAGATCCACCCAAGAAGGCTTACTAGGACCAAAACTCTTCCATTTCTTTCTTCAAAACCGACAACAACAAGCAAAGGTGAGTTCATACCCCTCTATTTTCGGTTTTCATATGTTTTATGGGGGAGAATACAAGTAAAATGTGAAGATCTATGTGTATTTGTATGTTATGTGTGATTTCTTGTATTTTGTGGTAAATATGTGCTAAAAATGAAAGATATTTCGAGATCTATAGTTCAAGAAGGGAAAAATATGTGATCTAGGTCATATTTCACTTAACATGTCAAGATAAACTACCATACAAGCTTTAAAATAACAAACTACAACATAAAGCTCATTATTGGACTATTTTTGTCAAATAAACAAAAGTTTGGGAAAAAGTTGTCATTTACGGTTTTTACAAGGTTCATAATGTCAAAACAGTTAAAATGGAAGTTTCTATGAACATTATGTTTTTCAAAGGACTAAAAACAAAATTTGTAGCTTATTGGGCTAAATTTTGGGCTTTTCGACCCTTAGGCCCAAAGTTGCGAAAATATGGTTTTAAGGGGGCTGAAATGGTAAATTTCTCAAAATAGTGGGTAGAAATGTAAATGAATCTATTTCTGGGGTTAAAATGACCTTATTTGCTAAAAAGGATTGAAAATACAAAGATTTTGGATTTTGGGTAAAAAGTGTAAAAATTGCGAAAAAGGTGGATTAAAATGCAAGTCTTTTAACTAAAGGGTTGAAACTTTCTAAAAATGTACTTTTTGACTTAAAACATTATTTAAATAAGTGTTTGGGTCAAAAATGTCAAGAAAAATAGTTCAAGGACCTAATATGTCATTTTTATAAAAAGGGCTAAAATTGCCAACTTTACAGAAATAAGGAGGGGCTGAATAGGTCAAACTAATGTTTTTGGTCAATTATGTTAATAATAATAACAATTGGGTCAAATATACAAAACTTTATAACTTATGAGTTTTAAATAGAAATATAACTATTTTTTTATATATAAATCTATGAATCGTTATAAAACAAATTCGTGATTTTTACGACATATCGATTAAACAACTCGCAACATTAATACAATACAAAACAAGTAAACATTCAAATGGTTGGGCTTGAGAGATTCTAATCATGCTTATTGGGCCTTTGTGACTCATTAACATGACTTTTGGGCCCAACGTAAATAATACATGTTATTGGGCCTCCTGTGACCCATTTACATGCTTAAGGGACCCTCAATGGTTTTACATGCTATTGGGCCTTAGTGGCCCATCAGCATTACTAGTAAGGTCCAAATAAATCATATGCGAAATGGGCCAACGCGCTTTTCATATACTCGACAGCCTTAAATAACATACGAAATTAGTATGGCCTAGTAGTCCTCTTCTCCTCGTCTGTTAGGCTTACCTTCTCTTCAAGTAAACTAAAATCAGATCATTAATCAAGGTTAATCAAATTCATGTGGATTGAGTGAGTAATAACGGGTGACACCAATAAGTGTCGGGTCGTAGTCTGTAGTTGTAATCAAAGTCTCCTGGAGGGAGAGCGAGAGTTTGTGTATAGATCTATACGGGGGTGACTCCCCCACACCTAAGTTGTTCGCTACAGTTAGACTCGGCCAGTCTAGGGTGACAAAGTCTTAAGATCAAATTCTGGTGTTCATTTGAATACCAAGACATACGAACTAGTCATTATCATGCATGGTTATAACGACTCACGTAGAAATCCGATATCATTAATCAAGAGAAATCATATTCATTCGATGTAACGATACAATAATGCAAAACGATCATAACTCTTTATCGGAAAACATCGGGTTTTCCGGGGAAACCAATCTTGCTCATTTGTACTTTCAATAACTATAATGCAAAAACTTCTCATTTATTCACGTTTTGAAATCATCCACGCACATACTTACAGGATCATCAAAACATTTTCAAGAAAAGTTTTAATACAGAAAATATCGGATTTTCTAGGTTTACCAACGACATAAACTACTTTACATCAAACACCCTTATGAACTCACCAACATTATATATGTTGACCGTTTTCAAAATAACTTGTATTCTCAGGTAATCGTTAGACAATGGAGCATCCAGTGTGTTGAAAGTTTCTTTTGTAGTTGCAAATCACCAAACACTTTATATTTTGGAATCATGTAATGTAAACCTTGTACTTGATGTAAACAGTGCCAGTTGTACTATGTAATGTTTGGTGATGAATGTGTTATGTTTCATGTATATTCATTGTGATGATATTTCAATTTAAGTCACGCGAGCCCTCGGACGTTTCCGCTGTCTGGTTCGGGGGTGTGACACAAAGGGACCAAAAGGACCAAAAAACAAGCTTAAAGAGAGATCTAAGCAATAAATAATCAAGGTGTGAACTTTATATCTCCAGAAGCTCCCTAAGATGATGTAGATGCTGGATCTAGAAGTCCCACCACGTCCAAGACTTGTACCACAAGATCTTCTTATTGCAAACACACCAAAAATGGCTCCTTTTTGTTACTTCAAGCTCAAAATCAACTCTGATGACTATTTAGGGTTTCTAGGGACGTATAAAGGCATGGTGGCTGATAAATGTGGGGGTCCAAAGGCCATAAATGGGTTTAAATAGGGAATAAGTCTGAAGATTAGGGTTTTGGTCATAGGCCACATACGCCCCCGCGTACCTCCTCGTACGCCTCATGTACGAGGCTCAGCGGCCCGATGATGCGCGCCTCAGTACGCTAAGCGTACTTGCACGTACGCCCGATGTACGAGGGGTCCTCCTTGCCAACTAAAATTCAACAAAAGCTTAAGAAAAGAATTACCTGAATTCGGATGTTGCAACTCTCCCCACTTGGATTAGACTTCATGCTTGCCAGTACAAAATATATACACTAAGACAACCATTTAAAGTTCGTTGGATATGTTTTCCCCATAGCATATTCTATGTACTATTAGCTAATATGTCTTTCTAAAAGTGACCAAACACTTTCTTGTTGGATTGGTTATGATATGGATGAAACTATGTGTTTGAGCAAGTGTAACTTTCCGATAATAGTGACATAAAATGAAATTTGTTTCTTTTGATTTTGTAGCCTTTAACTTACATTTACATTTTTTTTTCACAAAATAAACAATTTCAAACCTATCTTTTATAGATTTGCTCACTCTTATTTGAAAGCCCTTAGTAACACATTTGAATCCAAAATTAAGCTAAGTTCTTTGTTTATGAACACGTGAAACAACTTCACATACCAAGAATAATTATGGGCTAGAACACTTTTTATGTTTTTGTTGCCAACTCCGAAATAATAACAAGTACTTTGGAATGTGGTATTCCGAAATAAACGATTATTTTTTCAAAAAATAAAATAAATAATTATTTCAAATAGTTATTTATAATTATTTTTAATAGTTATTTAATGAATCTTCCTATTTTATATTAGAATTTCAATTTTGAAAACATAATTATTGAGACTCAGTCGGACGTGTAAGAAGCTAGTGATTGAGGTGTCCATATTTAGCTCAGTACTACTGCCTTTCTGAAACGACTTTTCTTCCTTAACAAAGACCAAAACACTAGGAACAAAATCCTCAAAATCTCCATTCAAACTCGCTTCATCACACTCCAATTCTGCAGATTCAGCCATGGATGACGACAGTGATCGGAGTTCTGAAGCAATTGAATTGGAAAATTTAACAACACAAAGAAAGAGGCACAGTGACAACGACGATGCTGAAGATTCCGGCACCGTAAATGAAGACGAATTCGATGACGATGAGACTGATGATCAGAGAGAGGTTAGTGAATTGGAGACTTCGCCCATGGAAATCGACGCATATTCTCGAACTTGTCAATCTGAAACCCTAGTATCTGGTATGTAGTACGATCGGTTCTTCCTAAATCGAATTGCGCTTTTCTTCCTTTCGTTGCACATAATTCGACTAGTCTGTAACTTTCTATGTGTTTAGGCTTGGCGGAGGTCCCGATACAGTATGAGATGCGAAAGGATGAGTTGGAGCACTTGAAGGTACACCTTTGTTCTTCAATGTTCTTGCTGTTTTCCAGTTTTCTTTGAATAAGAACATATAATTGAGATGATAAAGGTTTATTTACTTTGGTTCATTGGTTGTATCCATCTTCATAAGTAAACATAAGTTTTGACTACATTTTTTGTTCTCCTACTCAACTTAACCCATTTTTGAAGTAATATTTATGAAATATAGTATTCTTTTATCAATTCTTGTTCTAAATATATCATCTAAGTCTTGTTTTTTATAGGATTTGTTACAAAGTTTGATCTGGTTGTCAATTTTTTCAAAGAGGGTTTAGATTTTAGAATCTGCAACTTGAAAAGCAACCTAATTTAAAGTGTAATGTAACTCTTCTATGTATTCAAACTTGTTTCTTTAAAAAGGAATCCTATGCTGTATTGAAAATTTGGTTTTGAGCTTGTGTATGAAAGATGTACACAAGTAAACAATAGTTCTTGATAGATACTTTTAGCTTACTTTCCACTGATCTGATATTTTGCTATTCTCTTACAATTGTTTGTTAAGTGGAAAAGAATATGATCTGTAAATAGATTATTTGAACTTTTGCTTTTTATTGGCTTTTGTTTGAAGCAAAGTATAAATATGCTGTGAAGTTTATAAGAAAAATGCTTTGTTCTAATCTATGTTCCATTTGTACCCTTTTTCACTTAGAATCAACTTCAAGGGAGTCACCAAGAAGCCCTTGCAATTGTTATAGCCAAAGCTGCTCAATCTCAATCAGGAAGCAAAATCCAAATACCCATAATTCCATCTTTACCCTCAGAACTATCACCAATTTCAAATATTCCAAAATCAAATTCACAAGGAGAGATTCTCTCAATAGAAGGGAACCCTATTAAATCAGACCACAAAACCATATCAACTTCAAGAACTGTGAAAACACCAATTGATGGGTACAACTGGCGAAAATATGGTCAGAAACAAGTGAAGAGTCCGGAAGGTTCTAGAAGCTATTACAAGTGCACATACAATGAATGTGAAGCTAAAAAGATTGAATCTTGTGATCAATACAATTCCATCACGAAAATAGTTTATAAAGGCCAACACAAACATGAACAACCTAAGAAAGTGTTCACAAGGCGAGGTAAAGTCTTATCATCTTCTAAAGGGCAAGAACGTAAATTTACATCCAAGCTATGTAAATCAAGTGGGTCCGTTAGTAACGGTCCGATTTTAGTTGAAGAGATGGATGCACCACCACCAAAAAGGAGGCAAGTTATACACATTTATACTAAATTTTATTTTTGGCCCTTATTTGAGGTTCTTATTACGCCTTTGGTCCATGTTCCAAGTCAAATGACTATTTTTTGGACCAAAATTGCAAAATTCAGCTATACTTAAGGATCAAAAATAGACATTATAAATGGAAAAAGGACCAAAAATGTTACAAGAAACTCAACTAAGGACCAAAACCGTAAGAGAACTTTTTTGGACTAGATTTACAAAAATCAGACTCAGGGACCAAAAATGTAAATTGATTTAATTTCTACTAAATTACATTTTTGGCTCTTATTTAAGGTTTTTCTAACGCTTTTGGTTCGTGTTCCAAGTAAAATGATTATTTTTGGGACCAAAATTGCAAAAATCAGCTATACTCAGGGACCAAAAATAGACATTATACATGGAACAAGGACCAAAAATGTTACAAGAACCTCAACTAAGGACCAAAACCGTAAGATAACTTTTTTGGACTAGATTTGCTAACATCAGCTATACTCGGGACCAAAAATGTAAATTGATTTCATTTTTACTAAATTACATTTTTGGCCCTTGTTTGTGGTTTTTGTAACGTTTTTGGTCTGTGTTCCAAGTAAAATGACTATTTTTGGGACCAAACTTGAAAAAATCAGCTATACTCGGGGACCAAAAATAGAGATTATACACCGAACAAGGACCAAAAATGTTACAAGAAACTCAACTAAGGACCAAAACCGTAAGAGAACTTTTTGGGACTACATTTGCAAAAATCAGCTATACTCAGGGACCACAAATGTTACAAGAAACTCCATTAAGGACCAAAAATGTTACAAGAAACTCAACTTAGGACCAAAAATGTTACAAGAAACTCAACTAAGGACCAAAAATGTTACAATAACTTTTTGGGACTAGATTTGCAAAAATGAGCTATACTCAGGGACCAAAAATCTTACAAGAAACTCAACTAGGGACCAAAAATGTTACAAGAAACTCAACTAAGGGCCAAAAATGTTACGAGAACTTTTCGGGACTAGATTTGCAAAAATGAGTTATACCGAGGGACCAAAAGTGTAAAATGATGTGAATTTTGTTGGATTATTAGAGTGAAGAAAAACAGCATGGCAAGTCCTGGATCGGTTTTGAAGGCGCCAAAAAAACCAAAATTTGTTGTGCATGCAGCTGGTGATGTGGGAATATCAGCCGATGGTTATAGATGGAGGAAATATGGACAAAAGATGGTCAAAGGAAATCCTCATCCAAGGTATATATATATATATATATATATATATATATATATATATATATATATATATATATATATATATATATATATATATATATATGATTCCTTCCATTTTCTTAATTTCCATACCTCTTGTATTTTTAAATATAATAATATAAAAATAATAATAATAATAATTCAGGAATTACTACAAGTGCACATCTGCGGGGTGTCCAGTTAGGAAACACATAGAGATGGCAGTTGATGGTTCATCTGAAGTAATTTTAACATACAAAGGAGTCCATGATCATGACATTCCAATTCACACAAAACACATCAATTCCCCTAATGCTAATGCTAATGGTATTCTTCTCACTGCTGTTTCTTCCCCTAATCCCGACATTGTTACTTAACTTTTAGTTTAATTTCTCCTTTGTTTGTTTAATAAGATCTATATTTATATATTTCGTTTTAATTAAATAAATCATAAATGTAAATGACTAACTCCCCCGTAGGTCTAGTGGGTTTGAGGAAATTGTAGCGTAGGGTATATTATATAAAGGTAAGATTTGTTTACAAGTTCGCTATCTAATCTAGATATAATGACTTAATGGGTTAAGCCATAAAACATGGCTTAATGTATTAAGACCACTTAACTCTTAAACTATTATGAATATTGTGAAATTTGTTTTTTTGGAATGAAAAGAAAAAGTTATGTACAACAATTATGTGGAAAGACGTATCATTTTAACATCATGGGATCTCTATATCGAAATCAAAATGGATCATAAAAATCATGTGGCCATGTATAGAGGTGGTACGTGGATCAAAAGTGGCTTTCATTTACATAATCCGTCAATCAGAAAAGCTCGTAATGGATTTTGTTAATAACTTTTTATTTTTAGTTATATAATTAAATACATGTTTGGTTCTTTAGACCGAGTTACATCTATAAATAAATTTTTAATTTTGCGTTGAATCACCTTAATAATCAATTAGTTTCCATTTTGTATGTGACAGTCTCAAAGAACCGTTCTTGGTTATTGTATTATGAAAAGCAAATGTTCGATAGCGAAATAAATTTGATTTAAGAAATTATGTAAAAAACATGTTTAGATCTTAAATCATTTATGTTTGTCTTTTTCATAGATTACATCAATATTTTACTATAAACAAACTCTTGTACAAATACGAACACAAACGTAGAGGAAAAAAAATGTGTTTCTATAAAAGAAATTGTTTATGTAGTTTTGACAAACCACTTCTTCAATTTTTCATATAAGAAAGTGTATATGTAGCTTTTTAAAGATTAATTTCAGAAATTGGCATCCGATGATACTTGATATGTTTTTTTATTCAGTCTGGTAAGAAGTTGAATTTTTTTTTCCAGTCAGATTCAAACTGTTTGATATCATAATTATAAGTCTTTGATTCATTCTTATAGTTTATCATATGTTTCTAATTGGGTCTACAAGAAGTTGAATCAACAGTGGCATAACTACTTGGTTGGCAGGGGTAGCACTTGTTTTCTCCCAACAATTGAAAAAAAAAAGATTTTGTTAATATGTGGTGCACCTCCTAGAAAAAAAAAATTGTGCAACTACTTTGTTTTTTTTTAGAATCGGCAATTTTATTAAAAGACACTTACTAGCAAGTCACTAGTGAGAGTCAAATATATTACGGTCAAAATTACATAAAAGAGAATGGAGATTTTGTCCATTCCCCCATATGAAATTTCATTTTCCATATCTATGTTTAATCCATACATAAACCATGGATTTTACTCCTTCAAACACAAGATCCGGGTTGGTAAATTTTGAATTGAAGATTCTATCATTTCTTGTTTTCCAAATACACCATAGTGCTCCGAAAATGATTGCGTTCATTGTACTTCTCATTTTTGGGGGATGCCCACGCTCAGCTGCAAAGTTTAAGATCTCCTTCATACTGATTAGTTGGCGAGACATGATACCACACCAATTCTATATCTGGTTCCAAATTGTATCTGCAAACGGGCAAGTGACCAGCATATGATCTGTGGATTCAATGTCTGAGATACAAGTACTACAATTTAAATCTTACACCTGGACTCCTCGCATAACAAGAGCGTTCGCTGATGGAATACGATCCAATTTTGCTCTCCATATAAAACAGCTCACTTTGGTCGGAATCCAATTAGTCCACATGAAAGCTCCGTCAAGGATCCAATGACCTGCCCGCTCAATCCTTCCTCTTAATGCTGCGACAATAAATTTCCCATCAACCACGAAGTTGGAATCCCATACTGTACCCTCTTGTTTCCGTCGTGTAACATCCGTATCTGCAATGTTTAATTTAACAAGAGTATTTTTACATTTGTCAATATTTTTCCAAACTCCGCCTAGGTACCTGGAAGACACCCGACATGGCGGAAACGGACCAAGACTGTGTAGACCATTTATGATCTCCACCCATAATTGTGCAACTACTATCCCAAATCAATTGATCTACCTCATAAATGTAAGTCCACTTCAATTGATCTACCTCATAAATGTAAGTCCACTTCAATTGATCTACCTCATAAATGTAAGTCCACTTAATAACCCAATGGTGTTCAATTAGCCAATATGGAAACTAAGGAAGAAGTGGTGGAAACTGGAAAACGCATTGTGGTGATAAATTCAACAAATTAAAATAATAATAATAATAATAATAATAATAATAATAATAATAATCCTCTTTAATAAATGAAAGTTTTTTTGCCACTTGTCACACTCTCATTCAATTTGCCAAATGTTATTTTGAATTAAATTTTTTTTCCACATATCATTTTATGAGTTTTTCTATTTTATTAAATTTCACATAATATTTATGTAAAAATTGCAATAAATACAGTAATAAATTATATCAATTTCATTAATAAACTTATCTTTTAATTTCAAAATTCCTAATAAAGCTCATTAGTTTTTTTTTTTATTTAAATTATTTGTTTAAATTTAAAAGATAAAAAACATTCCATTATAATAATTCATTATTTTTTCTTATTTTCTTGTAAATTCAAAGTTCTTACATATTTTAACCTTTATATTTAACTTTTTTTTTTAAATTAACTCATGTAATACATGGTTCTCACAACTAGTAATAAAGTAATTGTTGTTTACTGCTTCACAACGACAACTATTACTTCTCTTTCAGTTTCAAGATTAAAAAAGTATTATTTATTTATTCATTTTAATCTTTTAATATTTTATTAGTTTAGTTTAATTTAGTTATTAACATTGATAATTGTAAATCTAAAATTAGCCATTTAGTTGTTCACTTGTTAATTTGTTATGTTGTTTGTGAAATTACGTTTAAATCTTCAGCAGAGAATTTTAAATCTTTCATTATCTTATTATTTTTAACCGAAATTCTTTTTGTACTATCCTTTGCCAAAATTTATGGGTTTGCATGACAATCCGATCTGATTTAATCAATAACTATCAGATAATTCTACAATTTTTTCTCTTAAGCAACTTTTTGTTAATTGTATTCGATAAACAATAAACATTTTATTGTTTTTCATTACCTATTGGGTAGTAAATGACACAAAAGTCACGAACTTTTCATTTTTTTCGATTTTAACACTACGTTTTTTTTTATTACAATTAAGCTATTATGTTTTCAGTTTGTTGCAATCCTGGCCGTTTGAACGGTTTGTTTTAGGTCATCCGGTTGCCACTGCTAACGTGGCATGATGATGTGTCAAAAGCAAAAAAAAAAAAAAAAAAAAGTGGCGCAAAAGACACTATGTTTTCATTTTTTGTGATTTTGACACTAAGTTTTTTTATTTTTTTTTAAATTTACGACATAAAAAAATAAACATATGCAAAGATATAATTGCTCCATTTACCTTATAATATAATAAAATATATTTACAATAGATTAAAAAAGAATACAGATGAAATAAACACATGTAAAGACATAGTTGCTCCATTTTCTGTTTTTAGATTTCTTTCTCTTTTCAAACTCATTACACTATCCTCAAATGGGTTTTCATCACTTTCTTCCCACCACCCAAGAACCTCAAAAACTACGACTTATGGGTTATCACCGGAGAAACTAACGACATCGGCAAAACATTTGCCTTACAACTAGCTCAAAAGGGTCTTCACCAAATCTTGGTTGGCAAAAACCTATCCAAGCATAAAGAAGTTTTTGATGAGATTGTATCGATGCACCCAACCACCAAGATCAAGATTTGCACTGTTCTGACGAGAATATGGTGACTGGAGTTAGGGAGATGCAGGAGTTGATTTATGGTGAACAACTGGAGTGGGTATTTTGGTGAATAGTGTTGGGGTGACTTATCATGCAACTAGGTTTTTCCATGAGGTTGAAGAAGAGTTTTGATGAATGTGATGAAAGTGAATGTGATAGATACGAGTTTGGTAATAAGAGTTGTGATTGAAGGAATGATTGAGAGGAAAAGATGTGTCATTGTTAATATTGGTTTGGGTGTTGTCATTATTGTACCTTCACGTCATCTTTATGTGATCTATGCTGCTAGCAAAACATAAGTTAGTTGTTAATTGTCTCTTTCTTTCTTTTAATTTGATATGTGATTCTCTCTTTCTGTTTTAAGATCAAATTAAAGGCATACATGGTTTAATTTTGAGTCAAGAAACATGCATTAGGAATGATTTTACGACCAAAAGGCAGGCATGGTTTTGAGTTATGAAAATAAGTTATTTACATCCACGAGACAATGTCAGAGAAACGAGGGAGAAAGGACAAAAAAGCTAGTAAAAGTACTGCATCAATGAATAATTGAAACCTAAAGTGTACATACTGTGACAAATTAAGGTTTTATAGTTCAAATCTTATTTACAAACATGGAATAAGCAAAAAAAACTATATACAGACGAAGATTTTCATTGATGGGGGGTGAAATTTGGATATGTTTATTTCATTTATGTTACAAACTGGAGAACATCGAAAATTTAGTGATAAAATTGGAAAAGATTGAAAACCTGGTGTAAAAATTGTACAAGGATGAAAACATAATGACTTTTGCGCAACTTTTTTTCGCTTCTGACACGTAATCATGCCACGTCAGCAATGACAACCGGATGACCTGAATCAAACTGGTCAACTGGTCAGAATTGCAACCAGTTGAAAATATAGTGACTTAATTGTAACTAGAAAAAAATTCGTTGTCAAAATCGAAAAAAATGAAAAGTTAGTGAGTTTTATGTCATTACCCCTTACCTATTTGATATTGATTCGTATGCGGCATCTATCCCACATGGCATACGACGACATTCAAAAATTTAAATCCTACAAAAGATAATAATAATATGTTATTGTAATTTGCTCGTAAACCAAAATAAATATGCCTAATCTTATTGACTCATTAAAAAATAGTTAACAATTAACTCATTAATCATATAATAAATTTCAAAGATGCTTATGCACAATATCATGTTTTGAGCTGACTCATACCGCTTTTCCATTGAGCGGCTGGTTTTCTTTTTCTTGGCTGGTTTTTCGCTGGCTCCTTAAAATCGGCTTACCCTTTGATTTTAGCCGTTCATACACGTTCTTCCA